ATGGAAGAACTGGCCTGCGGTGCGCTCCTTTTTCTTCTCCGCACCACCTTTGCCTTTCGGGTTGTCGTCGGACGAATCTGCGACCATATTCGCGCCGCTCTTCTGGTTGCTCCGCGCGCCACCATCCTGATGGCAGTTCTGGGGGGTCCATTCTTCGGATTTCTTATAACACAAGAACCAGGGATGTCCCTCCTTCTCACAATGCCAGCAGCTCCCTTTCATTTTGCCACCAGCACCTGATCTGACCCCACGTCCAGATTTCCCACCGCGACCCCAACCGGTACCTCCATTTTGGTCGTTGGAGTTATCGTTCTTCTTTGCACCGCGACCAGCACCACGGAAGTCACGTCTTCTGCCACGTTTGCCTCCTTGCATGCCGTAGCCGCTGCTGCCCTCGTCTCTACCCCTCAGTTGGCGGCGACGGAAGTCCTCCTCCAGAATCTTCGTCCGCACCCACTCGAGCGTCCACAAGCTCTGGTTCTGCGGAAGGCTCAATCTGCTCGTGTATTGCAGCCACGAATCTGGCAGCAGCGAGGGCATCTTCAGGAACTTGGTCTGCTCAGGGTACAGGATCCCCGCGGTCGCCAACTTTGCGTATTGTCCAGAACAGGTTGCACCTGCTCTCCCTCGCTCAGGCGCAACGCGGACAGCTCCTAATCCATCATGAGCGTCGCGGCAATGGAGGTCGGGGCGTGCAGTTCCTTCAACACAGTCCAAGCCTTTGGATTGCACTCAACCTCCGGCAGCAGGTGCATGACGTGGTGACGCTGGTTCAGCTCCAAACTCTGCGACATCAAGTAGTAGCCTGCCGAGGCATGCTCGTCCTAATCTTCCTGCAGCGCGGGGTCACTCGGTCTAGGCTCTTTCCCAATCATTAGTTTCAGCAATCCGATCTGACGGAAATATAGTTGCATTTTCCAGGCCCAATCATCATAGCTCTCACCATTGAACTTCTCGACGGTGAAGTTCTCCAGCACCTCCTTGACCAGCGAGCCCTGGTTTGTTCGCGCTCCCCTTGGCGCGGAAACACCAGAATCTTGGCTACAGCTACGATCTTGGGCTGAAGATTCACTAGCTCCCGCCGAATCCTTTCCCGCCATAGCTACCTATAACGAGGATCGCTATAACGCAGCTCTGATACCAGCTTGTTGGTGTAGGTGCCTACAAACTCAAGCTATTGAAACGTTATCCAACATAAAACCTCTCCTCGGGGTCACTTCCAAGGGTCCATGAGTGCTTGGTACAAGACCAGCCCCTATCCTTGGGTCAAAACAGCAAGAGTACCTCGAACGTCGGGCAGCGTGTCGTGCAGACCGTCGATCGGATTAAGCTGAGAATTTGCTGTATCGAAGCTCACTCTATAAGCTTTCAAAAGAGCCAATTTGCCTCGCGAAAAGTTATGCCATTGCAAAGTTGTGCTGTCGAACCGCGTGGATACGAAATTCCAGCTAGGAAGGAATTTGCTTGAATCAATTTGAGTATATCCAGATTTCAAACAGTGAAGGATTATAAAGCTAGAGCCAGCAAGGACCTTGGGAATCAACCTGAGAACAACCAGGGATGATCCCAAATAATTCCAGGCAATAGAACCACCATGGCTTGACAAAACAGCAGCTGGGAGATTGGTAAACAACCTCAAGTTCAGTTGTTTCAACCCGGAATAAAACCAACCGGGTTCAGGTTCTGAAAACAGAACCTATTTCACGATCATTTATGGACAGCACATACAGCATGGAAACATAGGCCATAACTACCCCCTAAACGATCCGAATTGACGACGGCACTAAACAACAACCCAATACCCTGCCCTAAGGATGCCCCTCAGAACCCATGTTCTTTTCCACCCTCTCCACCAACCCCAACCCCCTAACCCCCTCCCTTTCCCCCTCCCCTACCCCTTCACAACCGTGCATCCGACAAATACGGGGCCTCCACCCAGAGAGCCCCCCCCTCATCCACCCTGTCCTCCCTCTCCCTATCTACCAAGTCAACGTCCACCCCGCCCATGGACGACGCAGCCCGCAACAAAACAACACGAGCCTGCGCCCGTTGCAATACCACCCCAATAAAAGTCTTCAAAGACCCCAAGAGATATGACGAGAATGACGTGTCATCTTCCCGACAGGCCCCTCGCGACACAGCTAACCATAAGTGAGCGTCCCTCTGCTGACTCAACCAACGTCTGAAACTTCCACCCAAGCACCCCCACGTCTCAACAATCAAAGGTGTGAACTGCACCCCCCGATTGCTCGCAAGCAACGGCGCGCGTTATCGTTCGCCTTCCGTCGCTCCCAAACCTTGGCCGCCCATAGACCGCCCGCACTGTCCGACCAAAGATGGAGAGAGCGACAAGGGGTCTGAACACTGATCTCCAAGGCGTGCGCTTCTCCGTCCATCGGTCGACGCACTGCAACATCCACACGCTTTCCTGGCAACAACATGTCATCCTCCATCGTCACCACTCCCCTGGATGCCTTGGAAATCTTCGCCACCACAAACTTCACCTCATCGTGCACCCGAGAGGGACCGTGCTGGTGCTTGCATCGCAGTGCATTAAGCAGGTCCGCCGGGTCCGCGTACACCGTGCCACATACACAACGCCCTGCCACGAGCAACTGCTGGATCGGAAGGCCCAGACGCACAGCTGCAGCAATGCTCCACTCAGCAGCTGTGAAGGTGAAATCCGCATAACCTGGGACAGCCGAGACCCATGCACCAGCCCCCGGTCCCTGAAGGGATGTGAAACGGGCCAGGGTGGCATCGTTACGGGCCAATCGGCGCACAGCCTGAAGTTCCTCCACAGCCTACTGCCGCAGCCGCGCCTGGAAGAGACGAACGGGGGGGGGGGGAGGGCAGCGACGCAGATAGGCAAGCCTTCTCCCAGCGTACAGCCCCTGGCAGCTGGTCGAGGCTCTTGGGGAACCAGGGATCAAGAAAATCCACCCCCGCCACAGTCCTGAGATAGTCCGCAAACATCGCCTCCTCGCCTGCTACCCCCAACTGCGTAATGTCACGCGCAGCCTGTGCCCACCCACAAGCGTAAGACAGCGGACTCAAGGAAGCCGCTGCTCGGATCCCAAAGCCGCCGAGGCGAACAGGTAGGTGCAAATGCAGGCGAGCCAGCCTAGACCGTGCAGGGTCGTACTCCCAGGTACCAGACGGGAAGAGCTGCTCAAAACAGTCCTCCAGACTACTGTCCCAATCACTGAAAGCGTCCACCACATCTGGCCGCGGCGGCACGGTCCGCGCGAGGTACATCGGCCGCGCTGAAACCGCGATAGCTACGAGGTGTGACGCCATCTGCGGGTGGTCGAGCAAGGGGAGCCACGGCAAGGGCGTCTGCAGCTGTCGAAGCCGCTCCCGCAAACGAGACACCTCCCAGTCCTCCTCTCCAATGGGGACCCCCACCACTGTGAGTCCCTCCTCCACCCGCTGCATGCCCGAAGGCATCTCCTGTACCGCGTCAGAGGCCTCCCGTACCCAGAATCGGCACTTGTGGGCCTGCACCTCCAACCCCACCCCTTGCAGCCGTCCCGTAACACGCCAAACGCCTCCAGAAGCCTTGCCGTCGGGCCCAAAATGTAGGTATCATCCGCATAGCTCAGGAAAAGCAAATCGGCAAACTCTCTAGTGACCAGCTCCATGACCAGCTGTTGCGTGAATGCGAAGAGGAAAGGCCCGGCCGGGTCCCCCTGCCGGGATCCTCGTGCTGAAGCGAGAGTTTCTACGAACGGGCCTGCCTGGAGATAAAGATCGCTAGGTGTCCAGTAAAAGATACCCAAGAATGGGATGAGACCCGAAAAGGGGGACTCCCGCAGCCCCTCAAACATTGCCGTCGGTGGAAGGAGTTGAATGCGTTCGCAACATCTATCTGCAGCGCGGACCAATCTGTGTGAGTAGTCAGAGCCGAGCAAAAGGCGTGAGTCAAAATCTCCATTCCTACGCTGGTGCCAACGCCCAACTGGTGACACGGCTGAAAGTGGGTGGCCATCGCTGGTTTGAGTGTAATGCAGAGTGCTCGTGCAAGGATGCGCGGAAGGACCTCTCCAATGGCCACCGGCCGGACATCGCCGTTGGGCTTAGACAACCCAACCAGGTTAGAAGCAGCAAGCCAGGGTCGTGCCCACTCGGGAACCTGCCCTACAACCCGTTGGTTGAATACCTCGAGCAGATGAACTAGGCTGGTCAGTTCTGTCAGGAATATGTCACGCAAGTGCCCCGTAAGCCACCCCGACGGCCCTGCAGCGGAAGCACAACCCTAGCCAGTATGTCGACTGTAAGCACTGGTCGCTGAGGAGTGTCGATGTCAAAAGTGCGGACCCACTCCGGTATTCCGCCCGCGCTGGTGGGAAGCTTCCCCCGCCATGACTGCACTATAGCCTCAAACGGCCTAGCCAACTCCCCTTCCGTGAGGCATGCCAACCCACGACTCCACTCCCCCACTTTGCACCTAGTCCGACAACGAGCAAGGCGGATGGCGTCAGGATCTTGGTCGGAGGAGGTATAGGTTAGGGGACGAACTGCCGGGCGTGCTGCAAGCATGGCAGAGTCGAACAGCTCACGCCATCTCCCTTCCCAGAACCCCGTCAAACGCTCCATAAACAATGCCTTCTGACCCATCCCCGGTTTGGTCGGCAGGCCTAAGATGAGGCGTGGGAAGGCCAAGAGAAAGAGTGTGGCAGCTTCGTCCCTGGGTCGGCTCTTCAGTCGTTTCAAAACACAGCACAGCACATCGAGGACCCCCAGCCGGGCACGCTGAGATTTCCGACGCACAGTCTTCCCCCCTACCGCCTCCACGCAGAAAAAAGCTTCCCAATCCCATGACGGAACCGCCGCCCATACCCCTTCCTGGATTTCCCTCGCTGTCGGTCTCTCCTGTGTGTGCCATCTTCTGCCAGGGAAGGAATTAAGCCAAGTGCATATGCATGCCTCTCCACCTCAGCCGCTCGACACGCTGTCATGTGGCTCGCAGCCGCTCCTCGAGTGGCAAACGTGTGAAATCACACGTCGCATGGGCAGCGGGGAAGCGGAGGATGCAGCTCATGGTGTCCCTCATCCGATGCCACTGCCACCTCTACTGACGCCACGGGGGTGTCGAACGGCGCCAATTGCCGTGGGGATTCGGTACCCTGCTCACACCCTCCTCCTTGCCACTGCACGACCTGGTCTGCTGCGGCCACCCCTGGCTGCCCTCCCAGCTGCTGCATATCATAGTCCCCTGCTGTCATCCCCGGCAACCCTCCTGGCTGCTGCGCACCCTGGGGTGCTACCATCCCCCCCGGTTGGCTTCCTGGATGTTGCACGTCCCAGAGTGCTGTTGTCGCCCCTGACCGCCCCCTCGTCTGTCGCCTGCCCCTGGGTGTTGCTACGTCCCCCGGCTGCCCCCTCTGCACGCCGCAGGGTGTAGCAGTGACCCCCGGCTGCCCCCCTGGCTGAGGCGCAGCCTGAGGTGATGTGACCTCTCCTGGCCGCCCCAGCGTCTGCTGCCTGCCTTGGGATGCAGTGCCTGCCCCCAGCTGCCCCCCCGACTGATGAACGTCCTGGGGTGCTATTGTCACCCCCAACTGTCCCCCTGCCTGCTGCACGCCCTGGGGTTCTGCTAGTATCCCCGGCTGTCCCCCTGCCTGCTGCACACCATGGGGTGTTGCTATCACCCCCGGCTGCCCCCCTGCCTGTCTTCGTAGGAAGAGTACCTTGAACGTCGCGTAGCGTATCTTGCAGATCGTCGATCAGATTAACCCGAGAATTTCCTATATCGAAGCTCGCTCCAAGAACTTTAAAATAAGCCAAGATGCCTCGCTAAATGTTCTGCCATTGCAGAATTATGGCTCGGACAGCGTCGCGTACTAGCGTTGACTCAATAGCATTCCGCCGTTGAACCGCGTAGATATAAAATTCCAGCAAAGAAAGGAATTTGCTTGAATCAATTTGAGTATATCCAGGATACAAACAGAGAAGGAATTAATAGATAGAGCTAGCAGGGACCTTGGGAATCAACCTGGGAACAACCAGGCATGATCCCAAATAATTCCAAACAACAAAACCATCCTGGTTTGACAAAAAAGCAGGTGGGAGGTTGGTAAACAACCTCAGGTTCTGTTTTTCCAACCTGGGATACCACCAACCAGGTTCAGGTTCTGAAAGCATAACCTATTTCGTCCCAGTGCAACCAGACAAAAGCTGGTTCCGCTGGTTTCCCCTAGCCCTGTAGCATGCTGATACAGATAAACAACATCCAACTTTCACCTAATTGTACCCCTACAGTGCCTGCCCTAGCACACTATAGTTAACCAAACAAAACAGTACAATTCTGAATTGTATGGAACTGAATCTGCGCATTCAAATAAACCGAACCGCAAATCTTCCATCTTGGGTTCCTTTGCGAGCTCGTCCTTTCTGCTTGCACTGTTCATAGTGCGTACAATGTTGTGCCGAAGCGCACATTGCGCGACTACCTGCAAATGCATCAAGCAAAAAATTGCGAAAGCAAACAAACACACAAACAGACCATTCATACGCAAATGAATTTGCATACTCATACTTGTACAAACAGACGGCAGGATGCCGTGCAAAGTGAATTTGCACCCAACACATTCCCCCTCAGCCTGCTGGCTGCATCCCCATCATTCCATGGTAGTTCATGCGCATTCCACTCATGCGCACACAACGCCGATGAGGCTCATCCGCAAGCCTCTTGGTGAGGAAGTCTGCTGGCTGCTGGTGAGACTTGATGTAGATCGGATTCACCGTTCCCCTCTTCACCTCCTTACGCAGCCAGTGCCACTTGATACGCATATGCTTGTTCATCCCATGAAGCGCAGCGTTCCTGGCCATCCCAAGAGCCCCCTTGCTATCGCAAAACAGCGGTGTAGCAACCTTCTGCTCCTGGCCAATCTCCTCTAACAACCTCCTCAGCCAAATCACCTCCTTTACCGAATAGCATCGCCATGTACTCGGACTCTACCGAGGAAAGTGCCGTCTCCGTCTGCTTCTTGGACCTCCAACTAACGGGTCCTCCCCCAACCAGGCAGATGTGTCCTCCCACAGAAGAGGAACCCTCCTTCTAACAAACCCAATTAGCATCGGCAAAGTAGTTGAGAAAGATGTTGCCTTCTCCAAGCCTCTCCCCCTGCTCCTTCAGCACCTCAACTCCCTTCTGCTTTACCTGTGCAGATGCGTAGTATTGAACTCCAACGCTGCGGTACGACTTCAGGTACTTCACTACGTGTTCAGCTGCATCCACTTGCTCCTCAGACGGATTCTGCACCACCCAGACCAGCTGCCCAACCGAGAATGAGATGTCGGGCCTAGTCTGAACAGCTCCATACAAGAGGCTGCCCACCAAGGACTGAAAATTCTGCTGCTCCTCGTCTTCAACCCCTTCACCCTCAGCACAAGCTTGAATTTAGCTGGCAGGGGAGTTGCAACCTTGCGCTCCTTCTCAATCCCATACTTCTCCCCCAGCTGCATGATGAACTTTTCCTGGTGCAGCTTCAACCACATGTGATCCAGATCCCTCTCCACGTGTATCCCGAAGTAGTACTTTACCTTCTCAAGGGTCTTGCACTTGAAGTTCTCCATCAGCTTCTGCTGCACGTTCTGGATCTCCTTCATGCTGCCGCTGAAGAGAAGAATATAGTCTACGTAGACCAGAAACATCACCAGCTTCTCCTTCTCCCCCTTGAGAAAGAGGCTCTCATCGCAGCTGCTGGTCCTACATCCCATCTCCTCTAAAACAGCTGCCAACTTCTGGTACCAGCAGCGTGGCGCTTGCTTCAAACCGTAGATGGACTTGTTGAGCTTGCACACCCTTCCCGTACCATCCTCATATCCTGGTGGCTGTGTCATTTACACCTCCTCCTCCAAAATCCAGTTGAGGAATGCCGTTGATATGTCCATCTGAATGATAAATTTCCAACTGACGGCTGCATTCTTGTAGATGGTGACCTGCTCCTTGTCATCGGTCTTGATCCTCAGCACCCACTTGCACTGTACCGCTTTCTTCCCCTCTAGAAGCACCACTAGATCCCAAGTCCCATTCTCTAGCTGGCTCTGGTATTCAGCATCTCTAGAAGCCAGCCACTTGTCCCTATCTGGCCCAGCTAGTGCCTCCTCCATGCTAGCTGGTTCCTCTGGTGCAGGGGCAAGAAAACAGTATGCAGGTTCATCCTCCTCATCCGGGTCATAGCCATGGGGTAGAATCAGCATGGCCTCCTCATTCCCAAGCTGCTGCTCTGCTACATCAGCTCCTGCAAGTGGCCATACGGGTACGTCCTGGCCTGGTGACGGGTATTTCCCATCCCTTCACTATGGCACCATTCAGCTTCCTCCTGGATGGCAGTTTAGGCACCTTAGCTTTGCCCTGTCGCTGCTCGCCTCCCTCAGATCCAGCAGCTTCACTAGTGCTACCATTAGTCTTCACACCATCTCCTCCACCAGCAGGTACCTCATGTACCTTCTCTCCATCAACACCCTCTGCAGCTGCCTGCTCTCCCTCTTCCATCTGCTGGGACACCTTAGCCTCCGGTTGTTTCTCCCAGCTTCCATACATCATGCCCTCAACAAACTTCACATCCCTGGTGTCAAACAATACACCTTTGCAAGGTTCCCACAGCAGCCATCACTTGCTCTCAGCAGGCAGCCCCAAATGCACACACCAGATTGCACTTGCCCCCAACTTACTTCGGTGGACTTTGGGGACATGGCCGACTGCAATGCAACTGAACACCCTCAGCATGTCCACCGGCAGCTTCCTCTCAAGCCACCTCTCCAACGGCACCCAGGAGTCATCCCCAACTTTGGTGAGCACCCTGTTTCTAGCCACGGTAGCGTGCCGGACAGCATAGAGCCTCATGGAATTGCCCACCCCAACCATGCAGATGTAACCTCCCACAGAAGAGGAATCCTCCTTCTCAGAAGCCCAAGTAGCATCGGTAAAGCAAGTGAAAAGGAGCTTGCCTTCTCCAAGTCTCTCCCCCTTCTCCTTCAGCACCTCAACCCCCTACTGCTTCACCTGTGCGGAGTATTGAACTCCAACGCTGGGGTACGAGTCCAGGTAATTCACGACGCGTTAAGCTGTATCCACCTGCTCCTCAGACGGGTTCTGCACCACCCTGGCCAGCTGCCCAACCGAAAATGAGATGTCAGGCCTAGTGTGAACAGCTGCATACAAGAGGCTGCCCACCAAGGACTGAAAGTGCTGCTGCTCCTCGGCTTCAAACTTTTCATCCTCAGCAGCCTTCACAAGCATGAATTCAGCTGGCAGGGGAGTTGCAACCTTGCGCTCATTCTCAATCCCATACTTCTCCCCCAGCTGCATGATGAACTTCTCGTGGTGCAGCTTCAGCCACCTGTGATCCAGATCCCTCTCCACGTGCATCCCGAGGAATTACTTTACCTCCCCATGGGTCTTGCACTTGAAGTTCTCCATCAGCTGCTGCTGCATGTTCTTGATCTCCTTCATGCTGCTGCTGAAGAGAAGAATGTCGTCCACGTAGACCAAAAACATCACAAGGTTCTCCTTCTCTCCCTTGAGAACGAGGCTCTCATCGCAGCTACCAGCAACGTGGTGCCTGCTTCAAGCCGTAGATGGACTTGTTGAGCTTGCACACCCTGCCCGTACCATACTCATCTGCCCGTTACAAACACATCTGGTTGGTACCAAGAGTATGCGCGTTACTTGCCCATATGGTTGGTACCAAGAATATGTGTGTTACGTTCCCATATGATTGGTGTTACTTACCCTCATGGTTAGTACAAGAGTACGTGCATTACTTACCGACATAGTCGGTACAAAAAACAAGCACGTTATTTACCCATATGGTTGGTACCAAGATTAATGCGTTACTTATAAATAAATGAGTTTATTATGCCCTTACATCAACAACTTACTGATATGTTTGGTACTGAAAGTAAGTGCGTTTTTTTATCCATATGGTTGGTACCAAGAGTAAATACATTACTTATCCACAGGGTTGGTACCAAGAACATGCACGATCATTGCCCATGTGGTTGGTTCTAAGAGTAAGCGCATTACTAATCCCTATAGTTGGTACCAAGAATATGCATGTTACTTACCCATATGGTTGGTACCAGGAGTATGCACGTTATTTACGCATATGGTGGGTACCAAGAGTATGCGTATTACTTACCCATATGGTTCATACCAAAAGTAAGCGCGTTAATTACCCATCTGGTTGGTTCCAAGAGTAGGCGCGTTACTTACATGTATGGTTGGTACCAACAATATACGCGTTACTTACCCATATGGTTGGTACCAAGAGTACGTGCGTTAATTACCCAGAATGCGCGTTACTTGCCCGTATGGTTGGTACTAAGAGTAAGCGCGTAACTTACCCATCTGGTTGGTACCAAGAATATGTACGCTACTTACCCATATGGTTTTACAAAGAGTATGTGTGTTATATAGCCATGTGGTTGGTACAAATAGTAGCATTAATTACTTATATGGTAGGTACCAAGAGTAACTTCTTAATCTACGCATATGGTCCGTACCAAGAGTATGTGTGTTACTTACCCATATGGTTGGTACAATGAGTTTGCGCGTTACTAATCCATATGGTTGGTACTAAGATTAGGCGTGTTCCTTACTCATATGGTTGGTAAGGACGTTAATAT